GCATGTGCCTTAAAATAAATGAGGCAACATATACATCTATGTAAATTGAAATTGTTGTCTTGGCTTAGTGTTTTCAGGTGCATCCTGAGACGGAGACACTGTCCTAAGAATACCTCTTTGCCATTCTGAGCTGTATAGGCCATATTTTTGCAGATATGTTTAGCCTGGAGGACCTGGTAGTCCAGTTTTCGCAGCTTTATTTTGTTCCCCTAGGGTTTATATTTGATTTTTGGTTAGGCGGTTAGGATTTTTAACAGAACTCCTTCTGTTTGTTCCCTTTGGCCAGTCCTCCAGACCTCTTTTTGTTTCCCATTTCGCTTGTGTGAACAAACGGCTTTGTATATTTACAGTAAATTACTGGCTACTGTGTTGCATTACTTCTCATAATAATAGTAATACTAATAGTGTGAACATACAGGTAATTACTGTAATTTATGTACAGCAAGGTACCATAATACCACAACTCTGTACTGCTATATCACAGTAATTCCATGGGCATGGCAACTGTAAAGTCACAATATTTAGTTGTACTTTTATTCTAATTAACTGTAAAATATATACAGCAAATTACTGTGAAATATTTACAGTAAATTACTGTGAAATATTTACAGTACATTACTGTGAAATCCATGCAACTAGTAGCCAGTCATTTACTGTAATTTTACAGCCAAACATTTTACAGTGTAGAACAAGTTGGTGCATGTACATTTTTAGGACTGCTTGTTGACGAAAAACTCAATTGGAAGCACTATATAAATTATGTACAGACTAAACTCTCAAAAACAATAGGTATTTTGTATCATACTAAGAATATTCTTGAAGAAAAGATACTCTTTATAACAGTCTATTTCAGTCCTTTATTGACACGAGTACACTTTTTTATAAGAATATAGTCTAAACCACAGAAATGACTCCGGAAAAGCTGCAGATAGAGCCATAAGAAATTAATGCAACTGATTTCATCCGCACGGTTTGGCTTTATGAAGCAGGCACGCAAACGGTTACGTCATGACGCAAACTATGACGCAATGACGCAGCACCAGTCGGACTCTGGGCAGTGTGAAAAGAGCCGGAGCTAAACCGAAGAACCGGTTCTGAACCTGAAAAGCTCTAGCACAGAGCTTGAACCGGAGTTGCGTTGGTGTGAATGAGGTAGTTGGATCTGTAGGATAGGGACTGTAGGAAATAAATAGCTTATGAGTAAACTCATTTTTAGCCACAGTAGTAGTAGTATGCCCACTCATAATTAAACACAACATATACTGGCATAGTAATGTTCTCTATATTGCAACCAGTAAATGACTTTCAAATGGTTTTCCTTAATATAAATTAAGATAAGAAATAAAATAAAATAAGCTGACAATCATGTTTAGCATGCTACAGAATCTCCACAAGGGCACTGTCCAATTATTATCTGACACATTTGTTGCATAACACCCTGGAGGTTTCACCACATTTAAAGTTATTTGCAATATGAGATCACTTTATCGGGTGGGTCACATTTCACTGTGAAATAGGCTTACTGTCAAAGTGTGAATGCCTTTACACACAACTCTCATATTTTCCATGTTGAAAAAGTCAATTTCATAACATGCACAGACAAACGCAGCGGAGACAATGAGACTACAGCCATGCTGAGCTAAATGCTAACATGCTGCTAATGTTATACTTTTCACCAGCTTTGTTCAGAGTTAACATTAGCTCCTTATCACTTAAAGGGACCATTATGCTTTTTGGGGTTTTCCCGTTCCTGTGTTTTAGTGCATGTAGCCTACATGGTCTGCAAAAGCTAAAATCCCATAGTCCCCCCCTGCATGGAAAATCTTGATCGGACTCCTTTGTTTGCAACACTTACACTTCTGTTAGCTATCACTGTAAAAAAAAAGATCCTAATTTGACAGGAAATAACTGTACATTGTTATAGTAATTATCATGTTTTTTTTTAAATAACTTGCAAAATCCTGTAAAAATTAGAGATATTAACTATAAATTAACAACCCAAAACATTGTTAAAGTATTTTGACAATAACAATAAATAACATTTATTTCATTTTTTACAGTAAATTGACTATATCATATTTACAGTATTTTTGCACTTTCAGAAAATACATGCTGATGTACGTAAAATAAAAATAATGATCTGTAATTAAATATGTAACTCGTAATATAAAAGTGCATTACTATTATAAGACTTTAAAGGTCCCATGTCATGCTTTTCCGGTTATTACCCGTCCCCTTGTGTGTTAGCTTTTTATAAATGTAAACAGTCTGCAGAGTCATAAACCCTCAAAGTAGTGCAGGGGTCGGCAACAGGCGAACCGCGGTCCGGATCCGGACCCAGACGCCGACATATATGGACCCGGACCTATAATCAATACATTAATAGGAGATTTATATTTTGACGGGCCGATTCTATTTTAACCGTCGCCGACAGGGGGGTGAAAGAGACGAGTGAGCGATACAGGGAGAGAAACACAGAAGAAGAGACGAGAGCGCGGCAGAGAGAAGCGGAGAGGAAAGTGAGTGAAGAGAATAATTAGCGATACAGGGAGAGAAGCGGAGAGGAGAGTGAACAGGCGTGTTAGCGGCAGACAGGGAGAGACAAATAATTACACATGGCGCTCTCCAAGAAGAGGAAAGTGGACAGTGAGAACAGAGCTTTTAACCCTGAGTGGACTCATTCATGTTCATCCTGCCCACTGGGCAGGGCCGGCCCTCGGCATAGGCAGTATAGGCGAATGCTAAGGGCGCATCAACCGATAGGGGGCGCCGAAAATTGGGGAGAAAAAAAAAAAAGTTAGAAAAAAAATAAATAATAATTACCCCCCACCAAATCAAGTTGAACTGCCCCAGTAAAAACCAGAAGTTTATGTGAAATTGTTCTTTTTTTTAAATAATGGTTTTAGTGTGCAATTATAGGTTTTAATTTTGTATTTGTGTTAATTTAAAAATAAATCTAACTCCAAAAACACGTACACAGATTCTGTGTGCTTTTATTAACATTGGAATTTACTGTGTAAGCGGCCGCGGGGGGAGAGCTTTAGAGAGCTCTCTCCTGAAAGACTGAGCGGCTCTGATAACCTCAGCTCAGTGAGGTAAAGGCACACCTTTATATGATCATTATAGTTATAAAAAAATAAGAGAATAGGTGAAAAACAGGTATAAAATACTATATGACAGTACAAAAAAGTTGTTATTAATAAACAAGAATACAGTTTGAAAGGGGAGTGATTTGTAAAATATCCATAAAGAAAAAGAAAATCTGCTTAGAGTTCTGTTTCATATCGTGTTGAGAGATGTATCCATAGATTTCCTAATGTTGCTCTCAAAGTACACCAGATTGATGCTTTTAACTTCAATATTAAAAAAAAAAAGTCTTCCCGGGGGTGCATGCCCCCAGACCCCCCTAGAGGAGGTGAGGTCCCCCCCCCACTTAAATCATGTTCAAATGGATAGGAAACTAGATACAGTTACAGTCTTTCTGTTTTGGTGGTCATGCCACAACCGTGCACGCGTGAGTCATAGTAAGTGTAAGTGTCTGCATTTGGGGGGGGCAGCAAATTGGCCTAGGGCAGCAAATTGGTCAGGGAACTGGGAGCACAGAACCAGTGTGTCTCATTTGTTCAGAGACCGTGGCGCTCATTAAAAGTGCCAAAACGCCACTATGAGACAAAACACAAAGTGTTTGACCAAACATTCCCTCTCAAGTCAGAACTGAGGTCACAAAAATAAGCAGTCTCAGAGCCCAATATGATCAGTTGACCAGGATCAAAATTAAAACTAAATATCGTTCCAGGGCAGGCTAACCAATGAGCACCTGCATGTGTATGAGAATGGCCCTGATACAATTTCAGCCCAGATTTAAACTCCTGGCAGGACAAGCTCGAGCTCAATTCTCGCACTGAATTAACAACTAAAGATGACTGGATTGCAGTTGGTTTCAAGGTGTCATGAGCCAAATAAATTGGAAATTCATGCAACAAATGGTAATACATTTCATGAAAATCCGTAACTGCTTAATCCTACATAGTTCTTGAGACTTTCATAGCTGTAACAAAATGTTGGGGACATTGTGTCAAGACGATGTTGAGATATTTCATGAGTTAAGTGAATAATAAATAGTTTAAGAGGCAATAATAAAGTGAAGCTGCTTTTAACCCCCTTCAAAAAAGACAACTTGCTCATTGTTTCAGTGTTAATTTAATAATACAAATGCTTAATTATAGATACAGGAGGAAAAAAAAAGAAGCTTTATTTTGACAGTTTCTCTTCAGATAAATGTGCTATTTTAGGACTATGTAAACGTTCATCTCATCCACTCAACATGCCACCCATATCAAACCCGTACATAGTCACAAACTAAAACTAGAGAATGAATCCAGCAAAAATCTGACACACACACACACACACACACACACACACACACACACACACACACACACACACACACACACACACACACACACACACACACACACACACACACACACACACACACCACACACACACACACACACACACACACACACACACACACACCACACACACACACACACACACACACACACACACACACACACACACACACACACCACACACACACACACACACACACACACACACACACACACACACACACACACACACACACCACACACACACACACACACACACACACACACACACACACACACACACACACACACACACACACACACACACACACACACACACACACCAGTAAAATAAAGACTGACGTGACTAACAGAGGCAACACAGAACAGTGTATACTGTTTGGGAGGAGGAATCTCAGCTGACTACAAATCATAGACTGTAAATACAGCAGCGCAGAGAACACTGGTGAGTTTAACAAACGCATAATCATAGAAGCTTCAAATATCATGAAAACATTACTGTTCATAATTATGTCAGGGAGAAGTTGGATACATTAAAATATCCTTTTAGGAAAAAAATGTAACCGTATCATGAAATTCTGTCAATAACTTTTCCATATTATTTTTAAACCCTAAAGACATAACGTAACAAATGCACTGTCTTACATAATGAACAAAGTAAATGTATAAAGTAAAAAAACAAATTCAGGTGGTGATAGCAGACAGGCTGTTTAAATCAGACATGAGCACTTTAACAGACTGTTTAAAACTTAAAGCAGCGAACAAAGGCCTTTAGAGGAGAACACATAGGCAAAACAAACCAATACAAATGCTGGGAAATGCTGTTATCACAATCCACAATAAGCCTCAGAAGTGGTGGACAGTGTTGTGCAAATAGTAGTATCAGAACGTCAGAGCTAATAAAACTAACCATTCATTTCCATATTCAATTCAAAACAATTTATCACTTTTTCTTTGCAATGTACTCAGCATGATGTCAAGATGAAGTTGGTCATTTGATTTTTAGCACCACCTGCTGGCTGTAAATGGGACTTTTTGCATCTGCAGTGCGGATAACACAGCAAATAAATAATAACAGGGCAATTAGTGAGTCAAAAATGGTGCGAAAACAATACTTCAGAGGTACACATACAGAAAAGATCTCCATACTGATTTGTGAATAGACACGTCATCCTTTGCCCAAGTAGTATACACCATTGTTTTATGTCAGTTCAATCCAAAGAGAAACCAAAACATACACACACACGACAGGAAACTACAGTCACTCACCAGGCAAAATAGATTTAGATGGCTGTTTTAAACCCTTCCTCTCACCCCACTTGCTCAAACTCACTCATCCTTTTACCCTTCAGCATCTACTTCAAGCAAAAAACCCACCGTAAAAAATACACACACATACACGTCCCATGCAGTCTGAATCGACTGAACAGATTAGTGTCGTTGTTCTCTGGATTTTATCTTTGGGAGAGACAGGGTTCCTACACAGGCATCTTTTCTTTGCAATGGATGAAACTGAGAATATTTTTCTGATCTCTTTGAATGTAAAAGAGAAACTAGTTTTTCTTTAAGATATGATAAACATGGATTTGTCACTGCACAGCTAGTTGAACCTCTGATGGAGGTGTTGGTATTATTGGACTTGTAATGTTGTGTGTGGGGACATGGATAATTTTAGTCCAATCCGTTTATTAAGTTAAATGAAATGGTGTGTGTGTGTTTGTTTCTGTTTTTCTTCTTGTGTCTCTTTGACTGAGTATTCGAAATACCCTCTTTGAACCCTAGCTCTGCAAACCGGGTTTCAAACAACGTCTCAGTTTAGTGTAAAAGGGTGAACGCTGTTAACACAGGAATCTTTCTCTAGCATCCATCCCATGTAATGTGAATAGGAAAAACGTTTCAAAAACTAGAGCAATTCTACTCCACTGGTTGTTTAACATGAAACGTGTGAACGGCTTTCATCTCAAAGAAAATTGTTTATGATCCAAGGACTTTTTCCCACCTAAATCATACATCCCAAAACATGTTCAGGCTTTCTTTAAATGCTTTTCAAGGACTCAAAATGATCACAGTTAATTTTGAAGTATTCTCAGCTAGACCTGTGTAGGAACCCTGGAGACAAAGTACTCTACTGTCCAAGGGAATAACAAATTGCATGTAGGTTGTTTAGGTTGATTTTCCATTTAATTAGGCGTGTTTTACAGTGGAAATAAAAATAGTCGTGTGTATCTATTTTTAAGGTTTTATAGCACTCTTAAATGAAGCATTCACTCATGCGTATCCAGGTGTGGATGTCAGGTGGGACGCTTCACTGCAGCGGGTAGAGTCCATCAGCTCACTGGAGTTTGTGTTTCAGTGGAAAGGGCCAGGGAGATGTGGGAGAAGGTTGTCATGAGTCAATATAAAAACAACTGTTCCTCCCCCCCCCCCCGAGACTCCTCTACGTTTTAAGGACTCCCAGGGTGTTCAGCTCATCATCCACCATGGTGGAAGGGGGGGGGGGGTCTTTGTCGTTCTAGCTCTGTCCAAATGGATAGGGTCCGTGAATGCCCTGAAAAAAGAAACGAGAGCGAGGGAATTAGAAGAGCTTATACGGAATAGAGAAGTGAATACATGTAAAGCTGAAAGTAAAAAAGTGTTTAGAAGGAGACAAGAATGTTGAGAAATAATTAGGGATGCACGATATTGGTTTTTTGAAACCGATACCGATACCGATAACTTCCTGCTTCTCAAGACCGATACCGATAACAAAAAAATGTTTACGCCACTAATTATTTTTACGCGATTAACGCATGTGTATTTTTTTTCCTCGGCCGCCCCGTAGTTTCAGAGCGCATCGAGTTTAAAATACCATCTACAAGCTGATGCTGACAGCCCCGCTGATGCTGACAGCCCCGCTCCTGCCGCTCGCTTGTGGCAGACCACACTTCCACGCTCACCGGCAGGCACCGACTGGCCATCTGGAGGACCGGGAGGGTGTGTGTATGTGTGGCCCGAGCGAGCGAGAGAGAGACCTTACGTGCATTGTTGTTGTTAGCATCTGGTGCTAGCTAGCTGCGCTAACGGATATACGGAGCTGTTTAAATGAAAACAGAGGAGCGACATTTCGCCACAACTGCGCCGAGCACTTGACTTTATGCAGGAAGCCAGACAGTGGGACATTGTACGAAAAGTCAGCACACTCAGCACGGATAGTGCGCAACATGATTGCAAGCGTCCAGGCAGCTCCGGTTCGAGCATATGCCTTGAGTTGCACATAGCTCCAACGCCCATACCACCGACGACATGTTTGTTTACTGTCCTGGCTTCACGGCCGCACACCATTTACGTCACAGCCAGGCATGAGTTAGGGAGCGCTGGATTTGTGAAGAACTCCCCTCTTCCTAAACCACTAATACCACAGTACTGGCAAAACGGGAGGAGCCGAGTGAAAAACAAGCGCCCCTCATCCCAATCCACCCACACCGCAGTATTTTTTTCTTTTTTTTACCCAAAAAATATATTGTATATTATCGGGGCTATTAATACTGTTATCGGGTTTATCGGGATGACGTCATAATTCCTAATATCGGACCGATAATTATCGGGCCGATAGTTATCGTGCATCCCTAGAAATAATGACTCTTTTTGTAAGCAGTTTCATGTAGGAACTATTTTCTTTCCACCAAACTAAGAACTGTCACAAGTAAAAGCCTCTTGCTCGTGAGTAGTGTAATTTGTTAGTATAAAAATAGTTCCTAGTATCCATAGTCTCTGGACTATCTTGAGTAACCAGGTCATCATTTCTGGAATAAGATATTGCTGCTGAGTTCTTTAGACGTTAACTTTTTTCGGCACAGCATCTACAATTATTTTAGAGAACACACAAACATATGTAGAGCCAATATCTCCAGCACACCAAAACAACCTGGATTGATGAATATAACTAAACTTAGAGTAATTTGAAACTGAAGCCAACACACACTCTCCACATGGTCTGCTCTTATCATCAGTTTCAGGGCAGTAACCAAACCTGCATTAACTGTAGGAAACAGCCCAGTCAATGTCCTTTGGTATTTACGTCTCATTTAAATTACCCAGCTGGAAGACAAAGCTAAATGCTTCTGGACGGTCCAGTTCAGCCACCCAGGAAATGCTATTGACTGAAACTGTGATTAAAGGCTCAGCTATGACAGGTATGAGGTGATACTACTGTATACGAGTGGTGAGTCGTTGGAATCACAGGTGGAAGCAGTGATTATGGATATTTCCCTAAACAGAAACCAGTAATCTGGTTTAAAGAAGCTATAGCTTTTTTTTCCTGATGCATTTCACAATGAATTTGCAATACAAGTCACCCACAAATTAATAGTAACAATATTCACATGAGAGATGTTACATTATCATATACCCTGATTCAGAGTATATCATATGAGAGTATAGAATTGATATTAATATCATCTTTGATTTGAATTTTCAACAAAATTGAAAGCCATGGCTCATCATATTAGTATGTACACCACAAAACTAAAATAGAGCTAAAAATCATTTCCAAAGGAACCACTATATGTGCAAAAAGTGTCCAATTTGGCCTGAGGCAAAAGGAAAGGATAATATATATATTAGGGATGCACGATATTGGTTTTTTGAAACCGATACCGATAACTTCCTGCTTCTCAAGACCGATACCGATAATAATATAATATATATATATATTAAATGTACCTGTAGTTTTTGCACACCTGGTGGTAAAAAAAAGACTAGTAGTGAGCAAATGACATGAGCATTACTACTATGAACAAAACAAAGCCAAGAACAGTTTTGACTCTCGTCAAGCGCCATCATTTCTATGATGAAGTTAGAGATCGTTTTAGCCCTGGGGTCGTCTCTGGCAAACTTCTTGCCTTTTTCAAAAGCCTCGTCGATAGGTAAAAGCCCCGGTGCCTTTGCAGCTGGCTTTGGATTCTCCGCTAGTTTAGCAGCGCAGGCGTCTTCGTACGCTTTTAACACACCATCGTAGCGATGGCGATGTTTCAGGTGACAAATCAGGTTGGAAGTATTATAGCTCGTTGCCTTTTTCCCTCCTCGTGGAACTTCTGCATTGCATTTGTTAATACAAATAGCAAGCAGACTATCTAACTCTGAAACTTTGAAATAGTCCCATACTACCGACGACATGTTTGTTTACTGTCCTGGCTTCATGGCCGCACACCATTTACGTCACAGCCAGGCATGAGTTAGGGAGCGCTGGATTTGTGAAAAACTCCCCTCTTCCTAAACCACTAATACAGGGGTGGGGAATATCCGGCCCCCGGGCCGTATACGGCCCGCGAGACAATTTGATACGGCCCGCGAGACAATTTGATACGGCCCTCGAGGTAACTCACGCAAAAAAAAAAAATAATAAGAAATCTAGACCGCAAAAGAATTAAACAAGCGAGTGCTTGTTTTTCCTGGCCAAGGTCAGGGTACTTGAACACAACACGAGCCTAACGTGTCATCACGTGGTATATGTCTCGTCCGACAGGGGTTTAGAGCTGCCGGAGAGCACCAGGACGTCGCTCCGGGCTGGGACATCACAAATGTCAGTACCCATAAGGAGCCGTACACATGCCGCAGTTTTTTGCGTGGCTGTGTCTTTAGTTGAAAGCCCAGTGGCGATCTGTTCATCTGTCACACTGATCATAAAATCAATAACTTTGTTGTTATTAGCATCTGGTTAGCTAGCTATGATAACGGATAGGAAACTAAATTGCACACATCTTGTGTCCATATCTTTCTGTTTGGGTGGTCATGCCACAATCGTGCGCATGCATGAGCGAGTCATGGTAAAATATCTGGATTAAGAGGTTGCTTTTCCTTTGCACAGCATGAAAGAAAGGCCAAATGAATGGGCTGTGATTTTAGTATTTTTAAGCAGAGGTCAATCATTTGTACGGCCCTCGGAGGATGTTGAAAAAATTGAAATGGCCCTTGAGAGGAAAAAGGTTCCCCACCCCTGCACTAATACCACAGTACTGGCAAAACGGGAGGAGCCGAGTGAAAAACAAGCGCCCCTCATCCCAATCCACCCACACCGCAGTATTTTTTTATTTATTTTTACCCAAAAAATATATTATCGGGGCTATTAATACTGTTATCGGGTTTATCGGGATGACGTCATAATTCCTAATATCGGACCGATAATTATCGGGCCGATAATTATCGTGCACCACTAATATATATCATATATAAAATATTCTAATCTCAAAGTACAGCCGGAGTTTACAGGGATTTCATCATTTGTTTTGAAAGTAGAAGTTGTTAGACAAATATAAATTCTGATCTTGTGGTGGTTCTGGTTGAAAAGTCAGTTATCAAATGTCATGGCCATTTATTTAAAAGCTGTCAAGACTCTTCTCTATCAGGGATAACCAAGAACCAACCAAGCCCTACAACTATTGCATCTATCTTATCTATGATATAGTAAAAACATAGGAGTAAGGACAACAAAATTAAGTACTTGCCCCCTGATATCAAGAAAACGTGTTACCCTTACAGTCAGACTGACCTTCCAACTGTTCTTCCTTCAGTTACACCTTATTATATACAACTACATTTTATTGTTGCACCCTAAACTCTGATATTCCCCCCTAACTGTCCAGAAAGTCATATCTTTACTCCTGACAAAGCTGAGTATTCCCTCTGTTAAAAAGAGAGAAACGCAATAACCCGGAGGACGCTTCTGCAGCAACCAGACCTAACTGCTTTAGGGGCTCTACTGGAAAATCTCTAATAAAATCAAAGTTGAGTTGACTGAGATTGGGAAATGTGTTTTCTTTAATATACTATCATAGTGTGCAGGATTTCTCTTTTACCTGTCCCACCTTCTGTGGATGGAGGAATGCTCCACCGTAATGATGCAGGTTTCATGAAAACTGTACTTTACACACACACTCAATAAACCAGCTGCTAATCATATGAGTGTATTTATAAAGCGATGTAGGTTAACAGGGGTAGTAGCTCTGTGTAGTGTGAAAGCTTAACTTTGACTCATACATACCTGACCATAAGTCACCACAGAAAGATTGGTTTGGAGTCCATTTGACGCCCTATTTACAGCATTATGAGACAGTCCATTTTGATCTTGCTGGAGTGGCTCTTGTGTGCGTTCCCACGCTCCGCCAGGGTCTCTGAAGCTGTCGTCAGTGGCGTCGTGCTTGTTCTTCTGAGGCGAGGCGAAGGGGTTGAAGTCTTCCTGCACGTTGCGCTGGGGTTGGGTGTTGAATTCTGTCTCGAAGGAGGACAGCTGCTGGGTCACGCCGAGGAGACCTCCAACTTCTACACTAAGAATCACCCAGATTACATCTGTGGAGATAAGAGGCATTTACACACTTGACTTTATCAAGAAACCAAGTTTTCTCGTGGTGACGGCATCTGCAGTGTGAGAATAATCCAACACATTTTGCCTGAACAAAAACACAATCATGTCCAAAAATAATATCATATAAAAACAATAGAAATAAGGGCCCTTTGGATGCAGGTGTGGGACTTTTTCTGAAAGGGAACATCTGGTTAATTTGAGGATTTAAAATTCACATATGAAGAAGTATGAATATTGACCACTAACTACCCTCTTCATATGTAGAGATGGGTATCGTTAAGTACTACTACTCTTACTGATACTGCTTATCCATCCGACTCTTTAACGGTATTTTAATAATAATCTGTTAGTTTTGGGTTTTTTAAGGGAAAAACAATCAAAAAAAGAATGGGAACAGAATTAACATTGCGTTATTTTCAGTCAAATAAAAAAACATTATTAGCAAAAAAAAGCAAAGATGTTTGACAACTCATTATAGAATAATGCATTGATAATGGTAATGTCAAAATAAAATAAACAATAATTTACTGCAAAAGAATACAATAATCTTGGTTTTAAGTAACCCATGCTTGCATAATTTAGTTTAATTTAGTCCTCCGTGTGTGGGCTCTAGGCTACATAACTTACCTGACGAGGTAATGTTACTGGTAGACGAGACAAAAACAACGAGGCAGTATAAAACGTTTCATTTTCACGCCTGAATATGGTTCCCTTGCGCAAGATGTTTCGCCCTCACAATTAAGACACTTATCGCACTTGTGGCAACGAGCATTGTCCACATCGACTATTGAAAGCTTCAGTCTCTCTGCCATCATCATCATCACCAGCAACCGATCTCTGTGTCAGTGTACTGCGGGCACTGCAGCGTGTGAGAGAGAGAGCCACCCAGCCATATAACCTACCAATTTGCTGTTTTTTTTTTAATTGTATGTTGGTTAGATTATTCAGCCATTTCAAGAACATTTTGTGAAAAATGTATGAAATTGTACTGATAAGAAATTGAGATTAATAAAAAACTGAAGGAGTTGTAGCCATTTAACATTGTCTCATTAAAAACTAACTAAATGATCTCCTACCTCCATAGAATAATCCGGTGGCTGTGCACATCCTCCACTGGCCCTGGTACATGCCTGGAGCTGTGGGACTTCGCATCTGCACGCTCACATCTGATATTTCTTGGGGGTCTAGTGACTTTACCATAACTGTGTTTACATGGCCAAACTGATCCCCACCAATGTATTTGAGACTAACCCCAGGTGGCCATGACTCTGCACCTGTAGCACACAAAGAGGAGTAAAGTCAAAACACAGTGTAACCACAAGAACAGGACGTTTTAACTGGCCTTATATCACATACAGATTGACACTTGGTATACTGTGTGTTAAATATGTGAATGTGATCCACACCTGTGTTCTGTATTCTCCAGGTCTTTGTGAACGGCGTATCCGGAGGAATTGACTCTCCTTCCCCAATTGTCACGTCTTCAACAAAGGACATGGATGGCGTGTTGATGTTGGGACTTTCAAAGTCATAATAAGCACCGATAGCAGCCTGCAGGTTCCTGTCCCAACACAAAGTAAGAGCATGGTGTGAGAATGAGTCAGCGTTACACATTGTGACCATAAGGTTTTGTATTTTATTCTTAAAATGTAATCTTAATTATCATTCACATAGATTTCAAAGCTCAGTTATAGTTGGACTTTTTTTAAGCTCAAGGGAAAGAAATTGTAGAAAAGAAAACAAACAATGAAGCAAATCTGAATATTTCTCTTTCATTTTGATGCATCTGTGATTTATATTTGAAGCATTTTATACTCAACCTTGATTGATCAATTGACATTGATCCTAGAACGATATTGACAATTGAATAAGTAATTTTTAAAAGTACTTGCCATGAATATAAAACTGATTTGTAAAATATATAAAAACCTTTAATTAAAGTGACTTTTGTGTCATATGCTTATCAACCAATTATGATTAAAAAAATGTATCAGGACCTAGTTGACTAGCAACCTAAGGGGACAGTTGAGGCACACATATATATGTTTCCTCTTACCTGTAGTGCTATTTATAAATCTCGATAGTGTTGGTGTGAGATGCAGTGTTGGAGATAATGGCCATAGAGATTAATACAATTTCTCGAAGAAATGTCCCTTTCCAGAATTCAGGAGTTATTCAAGATGATCCACATACCTTGCTGCGCACAAAGAAGCATGCATTTACTCCTGGAGAGGTTATTTGAGTTAAAACAACAGATCAGTCGACGCCATTAATTACAGTTCCCATTCGCAGCAGCTGGCCCTAGGCTCTGGAACAGTCTGCCCCTACATGTGAGGTCAGCCCAGACCCTAGGGGTTTTTAAATCTTCACTGAATACACACTTCTTCTTCTCTCTGGCCTTCTAGTCAGAGCTGAGCATGATACCTGACATTTCTCTGTGTTTTGTCTTTGTATTTCTGTTATATATTTCTTGTCTTTTCTTTCACATGTTACTATAGTATGCTTTTATTACATGTGCAGCACTTTGGCTCAACCAAAAATCGTTTTTAAATGTGCTTTATAAATAAAACTTGATTTGATTTAATGTTTACATATTGTGTTACAAGCACAAGCTTCTCATCCATTAGTAGTATTGTTTGTTAGGAAGAAAATAGTAAATACATGAAACACCACATAACAATGTGCATTATCTTCAGTTACCAGGTCATGATTAATGACATTTCTGTTGATTTTATTCTAATACCATTATATTTGAGAGCACACAGCAAACAATCTAGTTAGATAAATTGCACTACAGGTAGGCTACGTATGAGGAAGAATATAATTATGATTTGAGGGGTAACTATACTTTAAACATTTCTTGAGGTTACCATGATCCTGTACAACGAGGGATCTGAGTGGGCTTACATTTTTACTTGATAAATTACTAATGTAGTGCTGGAAGCTCTATATTCACATGAAACTAAGCAGTTCTAGTTAACTAGTTTCAGTGGAGAAATTCCAACAAGGGTCACGTGATGATGTCGTGATTTCTAGACAAAAAGATTAAACTTAAACAAATCAACGTCGCTGTGTTCTCACTTTTAAAAAGTGAGATAGAAAGATTTGATTAAAGCCATTGATCACTGATAAACTATAAAACACCACTTGTTGTCACGCGTCCATCGATCACGACTGATTACCTCACCAGACTAACGTGAGTTGTGGCTTCCCAAACAGCGGCTCGGTGTAACTGGCTCCCAACATCATTATGTAACATGGCTGATAATCTACAGCGAGACTTCCCTGTGCTTAAATTAGCCTTCTAGCTAGTGCGCTCGAGTTTCCAGTTATTTCATCCGACAATAACAAACTCACAGTTGGGGCAAACTTTACCGTTTCACTTCCGCTTGCCCCCGCAGCGATGGTTAGGAGTGAACTGTAATTAACTGCCACTTCTCGTGAAGGAAGGATGAAATCATCCTCTCGGGTTTTAACAACACCAACTTGCACCGTGAGTGTTTGCCACCATTTTTTATAGCAATTCAACGCATGCTAACTGGCTAATTATGGTGCTCTGTTAGCGTCATGTTGCTGTCCGACAACAGGCCCTCGCATCCCCGCACTCACCAGTTGGTCATGTCCAAGAAGAATGCGCAGCCTGCCGGGTTGAGCTGGAAGCCCAGCAGCCTCTGAAACTCGGATATGAGGACATCCTTGTCCGTGGTGCCCATGCAGCTGAACTTCTGCATGAGCTCCGCATCTACGTCCATGTCCGTGCCCTCCATGGGTGGCGGGTGGCCCGTAGCAGAGACGGGGTGGAGCGGGGAGGGGGGGACCTCTCTCAGTTTAGTCCGAGGCCTTGTCCAGCCATAACAACCAGCTCAACAACAACAAGCGTCAGTGCGCATGGCATGATCAGGGGGACGTTGCAACAGCCCGCGCGTCACCTTCGCCAATCACGTAGTGGGCGGCTACGTCATCTGTTGCTATTTGCAGCCGCTTTCTCATTGGTTTATCAATGAATTGTAGCTGCTCATGCTTTCACCTCAGTCAGAACCATATCAGACGATTCATATCGAAGAAAATCAGGACATTGTATTAAAAATGATGCTCAAAGAAGTTATCACTAAATTAGACTGTAATAATACAGTATTTACTCATATGACAAGATATGTAAGTCATTCACAAACTGAACTCAAAGGCAATGTACATTGATACTATAAACCAGGGGTGTCCAAACTTTTTTCCCCGAGGGCCACATACAGAAAAATATACGAAGGGCTGGGCCACTCACTAGAGGTATATTGCCTCATAAGCTCAGTTATAAGTTAGCAAAATCAATCAAATGTAGGTAAATTATGCTTGTGAGTGTTGGCAGCTCATCCCTTAAAACAGAAGCCTCAGATTGATTATAATAAGTGGAAATAGGAAGGGTGTATTTCAAGCTTGTTATGTAAATAAGTCATTGGGCTTTTTTCTTATCAACTAAGATAGGTGTATGTATGGAGTGTGGACTGCTACTTGGAGAGGTCCCAGTTCACCTCCTGCCCTGCTGTGGTGCCCTTGAGCAAGGCACCAGACACCCCCCTTCCCCCCTCACTCCCATTGCTCCCCGGGCGCTGTACAATAGCTGCCCACTGCTCCTAGTACTAGACTCCTGGCACTAGGATGGGTTAAAAGCAGAAAACACATGTCACTGTGTGCTGTGTGCTCTGCATGTGTGACCATTAAAGAGGGTTTCATCCCTCCATATTCTATTTGTCTATGTTAGAAAATGTTTCCAACTTGAATTGATGGAATTTATTTGAAAAGTGGTCTTATTAACACATGAATACTACTGTGTAATATATGTTTGCATTAGTTAAGAAGTACAATATAAGACAAGCACACGTTTCATAGTCCATGCATTTGTTACCTCAAGGCTGGATTATTGTAACTCTTTATTATCAGCGTGTACCAAGAAGTCAGTTAAGTCGCTTCAGCTGATTCAAAATGCTGCAGCTCGTGTACTAACCATGGGAAAAAGGACCACATTACTCCTGTTCTGGCTGCCTTACACTGGCTCCCTATAGAATTCTAGGATAGAATTTAAAATTCTTCTTCTCGCCTACAAAGCCCTTAATGGGCAGGCGCCATCTTACCAAAAATAACTCATTATACCCATAGACTGTATATATAAAGATTATACCCTACTGTCCTACTAGGGCATTGCGTTCCAAGCATGCAGGGTTGTTGGTTGATCCTAGAGTTTTTAAAAGTACAATGGGAGTCAGAGCCTTTTCTTATCAAGCTCCACATTTTTTTTTCCACCATGAGACCTTAATATATATATAATATATTTCAAATATCACAATATTCACCTTTTTATTAGATTGACATATACTTTTACACGTTTTAAGTAAAACGTGTAAAAGTAACATAGTTAACCAATATAGTACTATATTGGTTAACTATAATAATGTCCATTGTCTCCATAAATGTTTCCACAAGGAGAAAAACTAATATTTAAGATTGAAGATGATTGTATATTATTATTAGTTGTTCATCTTTTTACATCAGTAGCCTAGTTTACATTTCAATTTTCTTTTTGCTTTTATATCTCTCTTTGGATATTTCTAAAGTAATAACGATTGAGATCTTTAAGAATTTCATTATTCTGGGAACTTTTATCATTTAACCAAACAAAGGATTATGGGGTAAAATATCCTCGGATTACTCTTGAATGAAAATATCCACTAACCATTAGTTAAAATTAGCTCTGCAATAGGTCTTCCAACTACAATAGGAGAAACATGGCATTGTATGCATGTGAAATAATTATCTAATATTATATCATTGTGTATATAATAGAAAAGTAAGAGTGGACATTTTGTCTGCATTAAGTACTTTTACTTTAAATACTTTACATACACTTTCCTGATTATGCTTTCATACGTTAACTGTAATAATACTTTAATTGAAGGACTTTCTTTTAACAATATTTTTAGGGTGTCCTATTATTAGTTTGACATAGGTGAAGGATATGATATATACATTTTAGGATTCTTATTCCATAAAAGAGTTTGCCATTCATTAAATAATTGAAATTCAGAAAGATATATTTTTTCAACAAGAACACATTTGTATCCCTGTAGATTTTTTTCAACTTTTTCTTGAAGAATGGAGAATAGTGGATGAACAAACAAATCCCAATAAAATGTTGATATTGTTGTTGTATGCATTTGAATTAATGACAAATAAAAAAACAATGAAATGACTGTGTGTCCAACATTCCTATGACGTGTACAAATAGCTATAGTAGGACATATAAGTACACAGGGAGTTTTGCAGGACATCTGTGACTCTTTTGTTAGCTACACCCACTATAAAGACACACTTTTCTGAAATCATACAAGAGAAGAACACCATTTGATGTAGATTTTCCACAACATTTATTTTCATTAAGATATAAACTAAAGCATAGCTTTTAACCAAGTATTTTTGTAAATATCATAGGATTATTAATATAATTATTTGTATTATCATAAAAGTATTACGTTTATCAATGAAAACTAAATGAATAATTTTACAGCTCAGTAGGCCTACCTTAGATTTGGACTTTTTTCACATTTTTTTTATTTTCCCTTTAAAACTTCCCTCCTTCCCACAATTGCAATGTATTTTATACAGATAACTCTTATATGTTGTTTTATTTGATTCGATTTGTTTACCTTAACCGTTATGAGTAGAGTATGGATTTCGTGTGAAGGGGGACAAATATATTATCAGTAGTGCAGTGGTGTTCACGCAGACTTTCAGGCGGAACCAACGGTCGGCAGGTCTTATATCTGGTAGGAACAGTTTGTGAGAACACCGGAATCGCGCTCTCGACGGAGATTGCCGGGGAACATGCCTAAGTAAGTAAAGATCTTACTTGCCCTTGTAAACTTAATCTATGATTTTTACATTTCAAACCCAATTAATGATTATTTGTTTTTGTAGTAAGCATCGAACGGCGTTTAAATATAACTGTAAACTAATTGAAACAGACCAGTTTGTTTCCAGTGAACGCTGTGAGCTTTGTTTGGGCTCTGTCTATTTGCTGGACTCAGCCTCAACGTGAACATTAACAATTTCCAGGAAGATGTATCTGCAGCAGCGTGATACAAAATCAACTGGTTCATTTTAGTATATTTAGGACTTTAACCATATCAACCTAAATATAAAGCTCTTTTTTTAATTAAAGTTTTTAGATTTTAGACCTTGTAACGTGTAATGCGATTGTTTTACTACGTAATATTCCTTAAAAATAAAAAGAGAAGAGATTATGCTGATTGTTTTAAAACAATATATCTTGCATACTAACAATCATTTACATCCAAGGTGAACGTCGTCACTGGGCCACAGCTTTTAAAGTGGAGCAGCTGCAGAGCACAACACATCCTAATAAAATGAGTGGATAAGAAAAATAATAGAAAATGAGTAGCATCATACTAAGGAATGAATTAGGTTTTCTATGAGTTTTTCTTTGCTAACTTAAACTAAGGCCTAAGTCATTTGAATGTACATTGGATATTTTAAATGTATAGAAAAACCTGCCCGGACACAAGGCAAAGACAAACCATAAGAAATACTTCAACTGTACCATGCAGCTCTTATTTGAAGAGAAGAGTTTTGGGTCAAGTCTTGATTTTGTGTTAACCCCCAAACTTTTCTTTTTGACAGGTTTTACTGTGATTACTGTGACACCTACCTAACACATGATTCGGTAAGTTGAGCTTGTGTGTATCAAACTGTTGTCAAATATAAAAAAATCGGTCTTAGATGTATTTGGCTCCTGTTAAATATCTACAAATCTGTCTGTTTTCTGTTCTTAGCCATCGGTGAGGAAGACCCACTGCAGTGGCCGAAAACACAAAGAAAATGTAAAAGATTACTACCAGAAATGGATGGAGGAGCAGGCTCAGAGCCTGATCGATAAAACAAGTAAGCACATTATTGGATCAAGTATTTGGATAACGCAGCTAAGTGCATTTTAGAAGTACAAAGCAACTGCTGTTTTTGTTTCTTTGGATGTTTTACCACTCACTCCAAAACCTTGTCGGACTTCTAGCTGTAGTAACAAATAACTTACGATAACTATGCATTATTTTTTACCTTCATATTTAATATCCTTGTATAGAAAATCAGCGAGGTGTTGGAGTAAAGCCTGTTACGGATCCCACACAACTCATGCTTACACATGTGTGGGACATCCAGGCTCTTTGCTTACATTGTGCACGATGTTCAGCAGCTCACTTCGGCCCCCTCTGAGATTACAAACCACTAATCCACATTACAGATGCTCCAGTGTGTTATTGTCCACTGTGGAGGAACACGTTTTACACACCAAATGATCCTTTGCAACACAAAAAGAGAGTAGCCATACATCCTTTATGCAAGTAAAGCATTCAAAATGGCTTCTCTTTTTTTTCACGCAGGGTATTTATCTGTGCACATTCGTAGAAAGACGAGGCAAGCTTTTGTGTTTTTTGCGTTCCGCTTATACAGCATGAAACACGCTTAAATGAACTCTTTACAAACACGAAAAAGATGATGTGCTGGCCATTTAAATATGTGTGTTTAATGTGTTGTCCTTTCTCCCGACAGCGGCTGCCTTTCAACAGGGAAAGATTCCTCCCACGCCGTTCCCTGGTGGGCCCCCCCCAGGTGAGTCCATCTTTGATGTATCATCATTTGATTAGAATAAACGATCATCAAAATCATGAAGCGTTTGCATTCTTTAAGAATTACAACTACCACATACAAATAATACTCAACTGGACATGAAAATAAACCGAATATGAAACCCTTTTTACTTAGCCGGTGTTTTCCTTTACTTGTGTAACATTTCACTTTTGTTAAAGAGCACCTGCAATGACGCGGCTAAGAGAAAAACATTTAAAATCTGATGTTTCATC